GGAGCTCCCCTCTTGTTTGACCGATGGCCTCCAAGATGGCCCGAAGAGCGCCCCAAGAGGGCCCCAAGAGGCGCCCAGACGGCCCCAAGCCCAAGAGGCCTCCAAGAGACTCCCAAGAGACCCCCAAGAGGCCCCCAAAAGGCTTCAAGAGGATCCCCGAGGCACCCAAGATGCCCCCCAGACGCTTTAAGGGCCCCCCCCAGGCACCCAAGAGGCTCAAGAGCTCTCCAGGATCGCCAAGAGACCACCAAGACTTCCCAAGAGGCCACCGAGAAACGCCCAAGCGACATCCCAAGAGGCTCCGAGAAAAAAAAGGCATCCAAGAGACCTCTGGCCCTTTTGCTCGCCCTCCTCCTCCTCCTGTCTCCTACTCTTGTTCGTCTTCCTCCTCCTCCTCCTCCTCCTCTTCCTCCTCCTCCTCATCGTCAGCATCATCATCAGCAGCATCAGCATCAACACCATCATCATCACCATCATCATAATCATATTTCTTCTCCCAACTCCTTCATCCATCCATCCAGGCTCCATTTTCTCCTCCTCCCTCCTTCGCACGGTTCGGCCGTCCACCTCTTTACTCCCGCACTTCCCTGATCACCTCAACTCGCTTGGACATCGTTTCTGGATGAGCTGGCGGTTTTTTTGTCGCAGCCGCAGGCGATGGCGCCAGTGGCGACTCGAGTCAGCTCGGGCTACGAGCGGATCAAATTGCCGGCGCGCGCGCAGGCACCAGCTGAACCTACCGCCGGGGGAAGCTGCTGCGCCGAGGGCAGTTGCTGCAACCGCCGAGGGCAAGCAGCACCGAGGGTGGGGACTGCAAGCTGCTGGGGCTGCCAGGAAGCTGCAAACGTGCGGGTACCCCGGGACCGAGACCACTAGGTACGCGAATTGGACCTTGTCGCCACAGCGCGCCAACGGTCGGCTGGCGGGGCGGGAATTATTTTGGGCCTGCGGGCTCGCGAAGCAGGCCGAAAGCCGTCCGCACACTAGCCGGGCCGCGACTAGGCAGCAAGAAAAGAGAGTCAAGCGAAGTGAGCGCGCGGGCAGCCACTGAGAAGAAGAAGAGGCGGAAGTTTCCAACTCGGTGGCGTGGGAACCCCGGTGGCGACCATCAAGTATAGGCGCAGCCAAAATGGCGCAGCGGCGCGACTGTGAACACGCAGAGGTCGATCACCCGGTGTGAGTCGGCGCAAGGCCCGACGAATACGAGCAGGACCGACAAGCACACCCAGACGACGTCCGTGCCGTAGGCGACACAACAGCATTGTGTCAGCGCAAGAGCGAAGAGGAACAACCTCGTCACAGACAAGTGGCGGGGATACTTTTAGTCACCGGCCGCGGGCGAGCGCGCCGGCGGCGAATCCAGTCAAAGCGGGGCACGCAGCGACGAATTAAACTAAAGCAAGTGGCGGGGATATTTTTTGTCAGCGGCTCCGAGGCAACGGACAGGGAGCGGAAGCGGCGTCCGGGTCACGGTACGGGGCTAATTTGCAAGACAATTCGCCGCCAGCCAGAGTCGGCGGACAAAGATCGCACCTGCAAGACGGGCTCGCAGTTACACGTGCACAGCACAAAACGAACTAAATTCACAGGGCAAACGTAGGAGTGGCGGGGATACGCGATTCAAAACGGGGCTCTCGCCTGCCAGGCAGGCTCACAGGATGCTGGTCTTGCAAGAGGGCACTTCTCGTAGTGCAGGGGAATGCCTTCAGGGACTGGTGAGGACGGGACTTGGGACGTGCCGGTGTGTTGCAGAATCGTTGATGCATCTTGGGTTCACTCTGGTCCCCCTTCTCCTCCTCGCACCTCAGGCCTCGTCAACCAACACACTGCCAAAGTCGTTAAAGGCTTAACGACTTCTGCCGTCCATCGACTCTGGACTGGTCACGATTTGCTTCAAATGTCCTTGGAAACTCTTTGGAATTACATGGCTGTGCCACGATGTACCCGGTTTATCTTGATGTATCTGCATTTTTCTGGATTGATCCGGCTCGATACCCACAAGTCGATTGGCGAAAAGTCACCAAGCCCTTAGGGACAGTGTCCTCGCAAGCCGGGCGATCGAGCACGGAGGGAATGCGAACCGCTGGGACAGGCCTGCCCGCGGACGCCTCGCTATCGGGAGATTCCACCGCACCGCTCGCACACATGCGGGGGGGCGCGTCGACCAAGCCGCGTCGTGGCGGCCGACGCCAAGCACCGCATCAAAGTCAGAAAGGTCTGCTCCTCCTCCTCCTCCTCCTCCTCCTCCTCTTCCTCCTCCTCCTCCTCCTCCGCCTTGTCGTCGTCGTCCTCCTCCTCCTCTTCCTCCTCCTCGTCCTTCTCCTCGTACTCCTCCTCCCCCTTCTCCTCGTCCTTCTCCTCCTCCTCCTCCTCCTCCTCGGCCTTCTCCTCGGCCTTCTCCTCGTCCTCCTCCTCAGCTGCTCCTCCTCGTCCTCGTTTTCGTCGTCCCTCCTCGAATGTTTGAGCGCCCACACTGGACGGCAAAGCCTCGCTACGCGTTCGCCTGCAACTGCGCGGGCCGAGGGAGCGAAAGGAGGGGAACGGTCGGAAGAAAGGAGGAGAGCGAGGAGGAGGGAGAATCCAGAGAGAGAGAGAGACGGTACCTGGCGTCGCTCCGACGGCAAGGCCTCCGCATCTGGAGGACCAACGCCGGCGGGCCAACACGGAGGATGCCTGGAGCGGCTCAGGTCGGCGCCCGTCCGCGGAGCAGGAGCCTCCGCACAACACGCGCGTTCGACGTCGGCGGCGCTCGGAAGAGGGAAGACTTGGAGCGCAAAGGTCTTCAGCCCGTCATTGACACCTGCATCTCGCCGACATCGGCACGTTACACCCCGACGCAGACCCCAACATCCCGAAGAGGATAGAGACAGGCCGAAACCTCTACCAGCCCCAATATGTGCAAGCAGAGACGCTCTGGCGGGAAGACTTGGGCATGCCAGCTGTTTCCTGGACCTGTTGGTACACGCTGTTGGTGCACGTGTGCGTCGTGGAGAAGCGTGTGCCGACAGGCCTGACGCAAGGCTGGACTCACTTCGAGCCTCTCCTCCTTCCCTTCCTTCCCCACCAGCCCTCTCGAAGCGGCTTCGGCCGTCCCTGCTCCGCGCTCGCGCGCGCCTGGGCCCCCGCGGGCGGGCGCCCGCCCGTCGCGAACGCTGGGCCCCCTGGGCGCCACCGGTGGACCATGTCCGAAGGGGAGGAGGAGGAGGAGTGGAAGGCCACCACACCATCCTGATGACCACCCTGAAGCCCACGACTGGGGGGGGGATGAGAGAGCGGCGGGGCCACACAGTGGAAGGAGCTATTCGCACCGAGGACGGCGTATTTTGCGCGCACGTCGTACGCTGCTTATACTTTCCGTAGCGCTCTTTACGTCGCACGTTACAGGCATGCGGTAACATGGTGCGATGACTCAATAGCGAAGTATCGACTTGTTCTGGTGATTTCGGTAATTCCTAGAAGTCCTCCTCCTCGGTATTGCCTCGCGCACGCTTGGCGTGTCCGCGCTGCATAGTCTGCAAGGTGCGCTTGTTTGAAGTACCCGTTGGGGTGGTATGCCCTAGTTCTTGTAGTAGCCCTGTGTGATCGCAATGCCCTGTAAATTCAGCAAGTCCAGGAAGTATGTGGTACCACCTGTAGTTGTAGGCGAGTGGTGTAGCCTGACATCTTAGCCAAGTCGTACCCGTTGCAGCTGTAGATCATGAAATATACCTTCACGTGCGTGTCCTGGTCTGGTTCCAAGTCGTACTGTAAACCACAAAACTTAGCAGCAATCATCGTTTTGAGCCCGCCGATAGATGGGGGGGGGCTGTTTCATCTCGAGCGTGACGTAATTCCCCTTCCGCAGGTCCCATGTATAGTAATGGAACCTCACTGCCCAGTATCATGGCTGGCTCTCTGCCAAGATGCATGTTTGGTAGCGTGCCAGTAGCAATCTCGCAGGGGCTGTGGTCGCTCTTGTCCATAATGTGATATTTCAGGGCGGTCATCGATAGTAACCACGCAAGCTCCATCTATGCATTTGGCGGTGTATACGTTGACACGCTTGTCGTAAAGCTCCTTGAAGTGGTGGCATATGTCCGATCCGATATCTCGGACCATGAAGTACTGCCTGTCTCCTTCTCCATGAGTAACCTTCGTAACTGGCTGCGTCTATGTGCTCTGGTATGGGAGGCCGCGTAGCCAGATGCCAGCTTTGGCTAGCACATGCTCTCTGAGAGCATCGTCGGTGCGGTGGTAGCTAGCGCTGGCCATGTTGTATGGAGTAGGTGCGTAAGGCGGCTGTACTTTGAGCGGGCATCTGCACGATCGTACCATGGGCGCGCGCGTGGTCATCCTGATGCATGGTCCTGGTAACGTAGTATGCGTGAAGGCACAATGGGAATAGGCGGGTAGGTGGGTGTCCAGGGTACGTCGAAGGAGTAGGCGCCCTCTCGGGTGTCCTGTGTTGTCTGCGTTCACGTACACGTAGTAAGCCGAATACTGCCTGCACTGCGCTGATGTACTGATGAATGATGGGGTGAGAAATGAGAGAGCGACGTCGACGAATTATTTGCTAAGGTGGCCGAGAGGAAGAAGTGCCCGCGCCTGTGACGCACAGTGCCCACGCCTTAGCCTGGTGGCAGCAGTCAGGGCACCTCGTAGCGCTTGGCATTCTCCTCGTCCTTGTCCTCCTTGTCCTTGTTGTCCTTGGCGTAGTCCTCGTCGTAGTCCTCGCTCTGGTTCTGGTCGTTGCATTCGATCTTGGAATAGTGCGTCACGTTGCCGTATTTGACGTCAGTACCCTCCAACTGCTAGGGTTTGCTGATACAGTGGTTCTCGAGGGCGGTGTCCAAGAACCTCACGAAATTGAAGTCGTCATAACTGTTGTAGCTTTCCCACTTGTGCTCCTCAATATACTTGCCAAAATCATCGCGGATGAGGGTGTAGTAGTGAAATTCGTACACCCCAGTGATCTTGTACGGCGTGTAATGCTAGTTGGCAGTAGTGGGTACGATGTCAGCCTGCTTGTATAGGTTGTAGATCACAATTTGGTCTGGATGCTTTACCTCGGAATTGCACTTATCCTTGAAGGGCTTCGCTCGAAAGTTCATCGTGAGGGCGCCAATGGACAGCTCCGTCGTAGGTATCTCGGTGTGCATGATTTCGCCTGTGGGCTCGTAGTGGGACCTCACGTGGACCATCTGCGGGTAGTTCTCTACGGTCAGATACATATGCCACCTGTGCGGAACGAGGAAGTTGAGGCTGAGTTGTGCCAAGTCGTTTGCCTCGTCGTGGGCCGGTTTGCCTCGTCGCGCCTTGTTTCTCCATCAGATCCTCCTCCTCCACCACGCCCTCTTCCTTATCCCCTTCTTTCTCCGCCGCATCCTCCGCCGCAGCATGGCCATCACCATCCTCATCATCTCCCCGCCGCCATCATCAGCATCCCTCTGCTCTTCATCCTCCTCCGCTCCATCGTCACAACCATCAGTATCACAACAACCCCCACCACCACCACCACCATCATCAGCAACAACAACGGCAACATAAGCATCGTCGTCATCGTCTTAATCAAAATCAGCTGCAACAGCACCAGCATCCTTATTATCATGATTGTCATCATCAGCATCAGAAGCGTCACCACCATCGTCATCTTCATCAACAGCATCATAAGCATCATCATCATTAGCATCGTCAATATGATAAACAACATCAGCATCAGCAGTATCATCATCATTACCATTATCATCGTCGTCATGATCACGATCACCATCATCAGCATCATCAGCATACGCATCATCATAATCAACATCAGCAGTATCATCATACTAATAGTCATCATCATCAGCCGCAGCACCATCATCACCCTTATCATCAGCACCACCATCATCATCAGCATCATCCTCATCATCATCATCATCATTATCATCATAATCAGCATCATCATCATCTTCACCACAACCACCACCATCATCACATCATCGTCATAAGCAGCATCATCATGATCAGCATCACCGTCAGCATCTCGAACCTCTTCCTCTCCTCCTCCTCCTCTTCCCCCTCCTCCTGCTACTCCTGTCTCCTCCCTCCTCTCTCATCTCTCGTCTCTCCTCTCTCCTCTCTCCATTCTCCCCTCTCCCCTCTCCCCTCTCCCCTCTCCCCTCTCCCCTCTGCCCTCTCCTCCTTCTCCTCCTCCTCCTCCTCCTCCTCGTCCACCTCCTCCTCCTCCTCCACCTCCTCCTCTTCCTCCTCCTCACCCCCGTCCTGCGGGCCAGGCGGCGGCCCCCTCGAGGAGGTCGCCGGCGTGCCGCTCGCGCCGCCGCTCCTGAAGGGGTGGGGGGGGGGGGCGCCGCGCCGCCAGAGCACGCGCACGAGCCGGAACAAGACCTCCATTGGTGGGCTTGTTTTCCACCACCACCACCATAAGTAGGAGAGGGGGGTCCTCCTCCTCCTTCTCCTCCTCCTCCTCTTTCTCTTCGTCCTCCTCCTCGTCCTCCACTTCCTCCCCCCCCTCCAACTTACGGTGGTGGTGGTGGCGGAAAACAAGCCCATGATCCATAGCCAACAGCACACTTGGCGGCACGCACGAGACGAGTAGGCTCGAGCGTCAAGGTTGCCAGGCTGTTCGTTGACACTCACCAGTTTCCCAGCCAGCCTCGGGGCGCTTTCAACCAGCTGCACCTCGCTGAGAGCGTTCCGGGGGTGCCCAGATCGTCCCGGACGGCCGCCGGAGAGCTGTGACCAAAGCCAAAGGTGGCGCGAGAGGGGCAGGGCTTGAGAGAAGGCAAAAGGTTTCTTAGAAGCCCCCCGGGCTTCTGAGAAGCCTTCTCAGAAGCCCCCAGGCCTCTTAGAAAGCCGGCCCCCTCGCGCCACCCGCTTGCGCGCGCCGCCACAGCATGCACGTCATCAGTGGCCAGAACGGCTCAGTCGGGCCCCTGGAAGGGACGACACGTCAGCTTAGCATGAGTCAGGCGGGTCCCGAGGGAAGCGGGTTCCGGAGTTGTTTCGCCGTCTGCGGGCCTCCCCGGGCCCCATGACCAGCAGAGACGACTCAGGATGAGGAACTGGTCCTTGGGATAGCCCGGGGGCAGGTCCAGGATCCGCCTCGCTGAGGGCCCCTCGCCTTCAGGGCAACCTTCGTGAGAAGTGGTCGGCGTGGCCCAGTCGAGGCCCCAACAAGGGGCGAGACGCTGGCCTGGTCCCCGTGCCTGCGCTTGAACGGGCACGCGCGGGCGCTCCTCCAGACCCCCCTGCGTGCTCCCGCCCACTTCTCCTCTTCCTCCTCCTCCTCTTCCTCCTCCTCCTTCTCCTCCTTCTGCTCCACAGGTCCCCCTCCTCCAGCCCGCGCTTGGGGGGGAGATCGAAGAGAGCGAGGACGCGGAGGAAGCGAGGGCCCCAGTACCTGGATTCTGCCGTGCGCAGCCTTAGCCGCCTAAGGGGGAAAAGAAGGAGGAAGAGGCGGAGGAGGGGAGGAGGAGGGGAAAAGAAGAAGAAAAAGAGGAGAAAGAGAGAAGAGGAGGAGGAGGAGGAGGAGGAGGAGGAGGAAGACACGGTTATGCGGATAGGAGGAGAGGAGAGAAGAGGAGAGGAGAAGAGACGAGAGGGTCTCTGGAGGGAACAGACCCCCTGTCTCTGGAGGTCCGTGGAGCCTCCGAAAAGCCTCGCAGAAGTCCCTGGAGGCCGCCCGAGGTCCCTGGAGGCCTCTGGCGCCCGCCGTCCCCGAAACACAAGCGCCCCCAAAGGAGGGGAGGGAGGGGGGAGGAGCAGCAGGAGGAGGAGGAGGAGGAGGAGGAGGAGGAGGAGCAGCAGCAGCAGCAGAAGGAGAGGGAGGAGGAACTGGGAGACCGCGCCTGGGGGGGAAGCGAAAAGGGGCGGGCCGTCTCAGAAGGCTCGGTCGTTCCGCGGCCTGTTCAGAGAAGTTATCTGAGCCTTCCCCGACGACGCAGGGGACCTCTCAGAGGACGCGAGGGCCTCTGAGAAGTCCCGCCGCCTGCTGAGAAGGCCCTCTCCTTCTCACGTTCCCCCCTTGCTTGCCGCCGATGACAGGTTGGCTATCAAACTACTGTACGCTGCTTCATGCCTCAAAGGCACGCTGGACCTCTCGGATTCGTGTACCGACAAAGTTGTGTGTGTGTGTGTTGTGTTGTCTTGTATTGTGGTGTGTTGAGATGTGTTGTGTATGTGCATGTGCATGTGTATGTGCATGTGTCTGTGTCTGTGTCTGTGTCTGTGTCTGTGTCTGTGTCTTTGTCTGTGTCTGTCTGTGACTGTGTCTGTGTCTGTGTCTCTGTCTGTCTGTGCCTGTGCTTGTGTATGTGTATGTGTATGTGTATGTGTATGTGTATATGTATGTGTACGTATATGTGTATGAGTATGTGTATGTGTATGTGTATGTGTATGTGCCTGTGTGTGTTTGTGTATGCGCGTGTGCGTGTGCGTGTGCGTGTGTGTGGGGTGGGGAGACCACCTGGCTCGCACTGACGTCTTCGGATGGCGGCCAGTCTTCAAAGACCTGAAGACGGAGGCTCGATAGTTGTTTTTTTTTGGGGGGGGGCGCAGCAAGCTTTCTCGAAGCCTCTCGCCATGTATTCAGATACGACAGCGCACCCCCAACACCACATAAGATACTGTCTGTGGCGAGCCCATCTCGCACGCTTGCACAAACGCGCACACACGCACACACGCACACAAACACAAGCTTACTTTTTGTTGCGCCGGCGGCTGGGCAGAGGGTGACTTATCCAGCGGACACGCAACAGCGGCCACACTGCATGCAAATTAAAGCCGCGATGCACGAGGGAGGAGGAGGACACAGACACACACACACACACAAACAAACAAACAAACAAACAAAGAGAGAGAACACGTAGACGGACTGACCGACAGACAGACAGTCAAAGTGGCAGACAGGCAGACTGACTGACACAAACACACACACAGACAGACAAACAGACAGACAGACAGACAGACTGACACACTGACACACCGAGCACAAACACACAAACACACAGACACACAGGCTGACATACAGGCGGACTGACTGACTGACTGACTGAACGACTAACTGACTGACTCACTCGCGTCAGTGAGTCACTCAGTTACACGGAGTCAGTGAGTCAGTCAGTGAGTCATTCAGTCAGTCAGTCAGTGAGTCAGTCACTCACACGGACACGCACACGCGTACAACTTAACTGTATGCGGGTATATATATATATATATACACTCATGGGTTCGCCAACGTGGGCCCCGAACCGTGTTTGTGTTTGTAGCAACATGTGTTGCGCAATTCTAGTGGGCAATATCTGTGTGGTGCAATTCACTTGCCGAGCTTGAAATTGTGAACTCCACTGCTCGCGCAATCATCCCACCCATCCACCCGCAACTTGGTTTGCAAAATCTTTTAAGGCCGTGACGGTGGGTACCAAATGGCACTTGGCAACGACAGCGACGCCGACGACGACAGCGACAACGACGACGACGACGCCGCCGACAACGACTACGACGACACCGACGGCGTCTCCAACGACTTCGACGACGCCGACAACGACGACGACGACGACGACGACGACGACGACGGCGACGACGCCGACGCCGACGCCGACGACGACGACGATGACAACGACGACGACGATGACGACGCCGACGACGACGACAACGACGACACCGACGACGACGACGTCAACGACGCCGACGACGTTAACGACGCCGACGACGACGACGACGATGGCGGCGACGACGACGCCGACGTCGACGAAGACGACGACGACGCCGACGCCGACAACGACGACGAAGACGACGACGACGTCGCCAACGAAGACGACGACGAGAGGGGAGGGAGGACGACGACGGCGACAACGACGACAACGACGAAAACGACGAGGGAGGAGGGAGGACGGTGACGACGCGAACGACGAAGAAGGAAGGACGGCGACGCCGACGACGGCAACGACGAGGGAGGAGGGAAGACGACGACGACGACAACGACGACGACGAGGGACGACAACGAGACGCCGACGACGGACGACGACGACGACGAGGGAGGAGGAAGAAGGACGACCACGGCGACAACGACGGAAACGACCACGATGCCAAAGAGGACGACGACGACGAACACGAAGAAAGACAGAGGACGACGTAGGCGACGACGACGACGACGACGCGAGAGGAGGGAGGACGGCGACGACAACGACGACGACGCAAGAGCGTGCGCGCACGCTTTTGTTGAAAATCCGTGTTGCGAAACCTTGTGGTTTGTAGGTTTTTTTGGCACACGATTTTGAAATCCTTC